TGGTGGCACATCAGTTAAGCAATTGCTTGCTAACTGGAAGGTCGGTGGTTTGAACCCACCCAACCGCTCTGTGGGAGAAAAGGCTAGCAATCTGTCCCTGTAGATTACATACAGGAAAACCATGTGGAACAGTTCTCCTGCCACATGGGGTCCCGAGAAGCAGCAATCAACTAGAGGGCCCCAAACAGCAGCAGCAGTCCTGCGTGTGACTCTGCCATCCCCCCGACAAAAGGGCAGAGTGCATGTCCCCACCGCTGGGCTACTGGTTCAGCTACAAGGCCTGCTTGACCCAGCAGAATGAAGAAGTGATGCATGGCAGGTCCCAGCCTGGGTCTTGAGAGTTCTCGCAGGTGTCTGCTTATTCTGCTGAATGTCTGCCATCCGCACGGGAACCTATGCCCAGGCTGGCCCAGCACTGAAGGCGGAGATGAACAGCCAACTCCCGTTTGCCCTCCAGATGCATAAGCTTAACAGACGCTTCTGGTTGTACACCACTGAGACACGTTTGGTGTCTGTTACAAAGCATCTATGAGCAATACTAACTGATGCTGTTGTTGTTAGGTCCCATCAAGGCAGTGACAAAAACAGTGACCCCACACACGACAGAACAAAACACCACCGACCCTGCGCCATGCTCACTAGCTGCTGTGCCCACTGTTGCAGCCACTGTGTCAAGCCCTCTCACCGAGGGTCTTCCTCTTTCTTCACTGCTGCTCTAAATTAAAGCAGGACTTTCAAACACACGCAATACAGTACGCAGCTTGCCCAACTCTGTTAATTATCTGACCGTTAACACAAAAGCTGTCGCCTAATTCTCTGTAGATGAAATGAGCATTTCGTGTTAGGATCTGTTATGGACAGAATTGTGTCCCCCAAAACATGTGGTGTCACTCCTCGCCCCATGCCTGTGGTTAGAATTCCATCTGGGAATGGGCTTTTTTTGCTCTGCTCAATGAGGAATTATTTACGTAGAGTGTGTCATATCAGTCTCTTTTGAGATATAAAAGCAGATTAAGCAAGCAGAGACGGGGGAAGACAGACAGTGCTCCCCATGAAGATCACCAAGGAACAGAAGCTGCAAAGAGCCAAGGACCTTCCTCCAGGGCCGACAGAGACAGCTCTCCCCTAAAGCCGGCGTGGCGCCCTGAATTTGGAATTCTAGCCTCCTGAACTGTGAGAAAATAAATTTGTTTCAAAGCCACCCACTTCTGTTACAGCAGCACAGACAACTAACACAGGACCTAAGGCCAGTGACAGACCTATGCTTTATCAGATGACTAGGAGACCTTACACAAAGAGGTACAGTCCCAAGATAAAATGCTTGAGTGAAGGTCTCTGCCTTACCTTTTAGTTTACTAATTTCAACCTTAAGTGCTTTTAATTTCTGCTTATAATCTTGCTTTTCCTTCACTATACTAGTCTCCACCATCTTGGCATCACGCAAGGCATGTTCCAACATTTTAAATTTACCCGAACAGTCTGCAATGTGATTGACTGCCTCGATAATATCTTTGTCCTAAAAAAAAAAAAAAAATTAAAAGTTGTTATTGCTGTTGTTGTTATATGCCGTCAAGTCGGCCTTGACTCATAGTGACCCCTCCTTGGGTATCCGAGGCAGTATCACTACGGAAGTAGATTGTCCACTCCAAGGAGTGGCTGGTGGGTTTGAACTGCCAGCCTTCTGGTTAGCAGTCAAGTGCCTTAAGCACTATGCTACCAGAGCTCATTATTAGATTTTCAAATTCCAACTAATCAGTAAGAAAAAATTATACTCATCAAGATCTCAGTGTGTGGCAGATTCAGTCTTAAGCACTTTTTTCATCTATTAACTTATTTAGTCTTCATAACAACTCTGTAAGGCAGGCACTATCATTACCACCACAAAGAAGATGAGAAAACAGGCAGAGAAGTTATGTCATGTGCCCAAGGTTACATGACTAGTAAGCCATCAAGGCAGGACTTGAACCCAGCCAATTGGCCCCAGAAACCATGCGTTTAACCACTACACATTACTGTCTCTCAGAAAATTTAATTACCTATGTTCTGGTTACCTAGTGCCACTCTGACAAGAAACATACCACAAATGGGATGGCCTTAACAAACAGGAGTTTATTCTTAAAATATGGACGCTTTACGTCCAAGTTCAAAGTGCCAGGCTCTAGGGGCTGGGTGAAAACCCCTCTCAACGGTGGGGTCCAGCTCTGCCTCCTGCTCCCAGTCCACTGGAGCTAGAGGTGTTTCTTCACTGAGACAGCTGCAGGCTGCTAAGGCTGAGAAGCTCCAAGGTTGACAAGTAAAAAGGCACAGTCCTGATGTTAGCAACCCACACAGAAGGGCATTACTTTGAGTCCATTTTAAGTCCCAAGGTCAGCACAGCATGGCAGACTGCTGAACAATGACACGGCTACATGCCGAGTCCAAGCATGCCATAAGCTAGAGACCATTCCCAAAGCTGTTTCTTGTATACAAGAAGCAGACCACATACCCAAAGCAGGTACTCTCAGCTGCTTGTGGTAGATCCCACCGTGGAGCTGACTGCCAGTCTCATCATGGGGAATAACTACCACCAGCTGTGCAGCCACTCAACCAGGCCTAGCCAAGTTGACACACAGGCATAACCACTACAACCTACAAAACCGTACTGGCAATAGGAGGACTGGCAGACCGGGTTTCAGTCTCTAATTACAGATGTCAAGTCCATGGTCCACCACTTCAGCCCCGCTCTTCTTTTCAGCTTGTTGAGGTGACAGGTTCCAAGACCTCATCCCATAAATCAAAAACCAAACCAGCTGCTATGAATTCAACTGCTCCATAGGGTTTCCAAGACTGTAAATCTTTTTTTTTTTTTTTTAATCGTGATTTGGGTGAAAGTTTATAGAACAATTTCATTTTCCATTCAGCAGTTCATACACATTTTGTTTCATGACACTGACTGCAATCCCCACAATGTAACAGCTCTCTTCCCACTTCTTCCCTGTGGCTACCTTTTTCCTGTGTCCTTCTTTCCTGTGCATTCCTGCCCATTCCTGCCCCTGAGCTATCTCCCCATGCAAATACTGCCCTTCTGTTCTCCCATGACTGACCATTCTAAGGAGTGCCCTTCTCTGGTGTAAATGCTCATCTCATAGGCCTGTCTATTTTTTGGCTGGAATTTAAGCCGTTGAAGTAAGTTTAATTCCAGGCCCAAAGGGTGACTAGGATCCATATAGTCTTGGGGGTTTCACCAGTCTCTATCAAAGCAGTTAAGTCTGGTCTTTTTTTATTCTGAGTTCCAAGGCGGTAAATCTTTACAGAAGCAGACTGCCTCACCTCTCTCCCATGGAGCAACTGGTGGGTTTGAACTACCAATCTTTAGGTCAGCAGCCAAATGCTTTCACCACTGCACCACCACAGCTCTTTCCTTATCCCATCCCTGCCCTAATCAGAATCTCTTATTGTTGAGCTTGGTATTTTAATTACAAAAAAAAATATGCTTGTTGAAAAATGATTCATACAACACCTACATGTATAAAAACATTAAGTAAAAGTTCTCTCCCTCACCCCACTCTCCAGGAATAACTATTATTAACAGGTTCTACCCCTGCCGAAGTAAAAGCATTTCTGCTATTACATCATCTATACGTTCCTGAAATAAATAAATAAAAAGGTCACATTCTGTAAATTGCACTCAGAGGACTTAAGGGTTGGGACAGACATTAAAAGACCCATGGAGCTTCGTGACCAGATTAGCAGCCAAGATGGACGGTCCTACCAAGCACACTACCACAGCTGCCTGTCTACTGGCATCCGCATCTAGCGTCACTGGTCATCCTTCTCAGCCCTGAGCCTGTGGTTCACGCTGCCTCTGGTAATAAGCGTGTCTTGGAGTTGTCCACCCATAACAGAGGTCATTTTCACCAAGATGAAAAATCTCATTCTGGGAGCACAATCTGCTTTTAATTTGGGGGAAGTATCTTTACAGCATCTTCATCAGGACTCACATCTTTGCCAGACAGTTTGACGGAAAGCGCAGCGTTTGCTGAAGCCATAAATTGGCCACTGACTAAAGACAAGTCAATTGATTTTATTATTTTCTCTTTAATGTTAAACTAGCTTGCCAGTAATCACTTCAAAATACTGATGCACTGGGAAAAAAATCACATATGACTTTGCTATTATACCAGCATTATTTCCCTAAGCAGTGGGATGCCAACCAAAAGATCAGCGGTTTGAATCCAGCAGCTGCTCCATGGGAAAAAGACGTGGCAGTTGGTTTTTTGTGAATACAGCCTTGGAAACATCATGGGGAAGTTCTACTCTGTTCTCTAGGGGTGACATGAACCAGAGATGACTTGACAGCAACAAGTTTGGTTTTTGGTTTACTGACCAACTACATATAAGAGAATTGGCATCAGACGTGTACTACAGTAGGAGATGGGACTGTTTATCACATGTTAGTGACTACATCAATTACTTGATTGTTACCAGTTTTTTGCTCCATTTTAAAGAGCACTGACAAGCAAGGTGACAGCCAATTACCCGAGACCTCATAATGAAAACCATGGAAGAGATGGACTTCACTCAAGCACAGCAGGCCATGGGACGCACCTAGGAGACAGCAGTGCAGAAGTGGAGTCAGCTCCCCTTCTCAGGGACTGGGGAAGTTATTTTAAACTTGTCTTCCTCATTTCAAAATGAGAATTTAAAAATGAGAACAACTTACACAATGAAAATTAGAAAACAATGCTTAAAGATTAAAGACAACTTGAGTAATTGGAAAGATGTCCCATGTTCATGGACCGCAAGACTTAATTAACATTGTCGAGATGTCAGTACTACCCAAGGCAATCTA